TGATGAACTCGAGGACTCCTTCGATGTTTTCTTCTTTCCTTGAGCCGAAGCCTCCGGGTACTATGAGCACTTCTACTCGTCCGCAAGAACACGGATTAGCAGACAATTCTTCAACTCTCTAACTGTCTAAGTACTTAATTCCCCTGCTCTTTCCTTCCGCCTTCTTGAAACCGCTCCAACGGTCTCCTCCTTCTCAAGTGATATGTAGATGATTTAGATGTGATGGAAAGAAACATGACTCACCAATATCCTCCGGCGCAGTGGCAAAAGTATGCGTCGGCACAATCTTCTCTCCAAAACTACTCTTCCGGTCAGATTGGCCCGCGTGCTGCGTCGAGACTGGTTCGAGTGTGTTGGCCAGGATCGTGAGGTTGAGCGAGTGGTGGATAGCGAGGAGGTTGAGGACGTCGAGGGGGCCGCAGAGATCGAGGAGTTGGAAGCCTGGGAAGAGGATTACGCCGATGTGTTTTGGGGGTGCCATCGTTTTGGAGGGTGGTGTTGCTGTTGTTGTTGGTGGTGGTGTGGGGTGGAGTGGAGTTGAACTGGGAAGGAGACTTTGTGTTGGGATGATGGTGGATTTGGGGACCCTGGTGCTCCGTGTGTTTCTGCGGAAGGTAAAGGTAATGGCAAGGGTGCAATCGAAGGTCAATTGACCTGATGACCAACAAAGGACGTGAAGGAAGTGTACGCTTTTTATACTGTGTATACTTTGTCCTGCCAATTTGCTTTCACTGGAGAAAATGGAGTCTGACAATGCCTCCAGGCTCTTTTAGGAGAGTGAGCTGTATATTAGTAAGCAGTATTCGCGTCAATTGTTCGGCTCTATTGGTTGAATAAAGGTCATGTGCGGGTTGTTTGCTGCTAGTGTATGTGTACAGCCTTCACTCCATAGGGCGTACTGTCAGCCTTGGTATCGGGAAAGGATACATGTATTACGGCCGATCCGCGAATGGAATCTTTCCACGGCCGGGAACCGAAGAAGGAAACTTTGACTCAGTGTGACTTCAGATGGTCAATTGAACGGCTGAATGTTTGGAAAATAACGGTAGGGAAGTTGTAGAGTAAAGAGTGGACTCTTAGAGAACTCACTACATCCTCTACACAACACCAATCATATGCACACCCTCCGCATCTTGAACGGCAACAGTAGGCCAAAGCCTAGCCTTAGCAATCCTCTCCTCAGAAATAAGATAACTCTTCGGCATATCACCCTTCTCCACCATACCCAACTGCACCTTCTCTACATCCTTGCCCTCCAGCTCCGCAAGAACCATGTCCACCACCGCCTTCCCACAAAGAGTCGCATTGGGCATGCCATGCCCTGTATAGCCCCCAACAAGCCACAGTCCCTCCTTCTGAGGTACTTTACCGACCCACGGATGATCATCCCTTGAATATCCCATGATACCTGTCCATATCTTCGAGGCCTTCAACTCCTTCAGGCCCTCCGTCTTACCGTCGAGCTTTAGGACCTTGAGTAACGCGCCGCGGAGATATGCCGCCGTGTCTTCATCGATTACGCTGTCGTCGCTCACTCCCACCGTTGGTAGCTTGCCTGCTCCGCGGCCGCCGCCGAACATCAGATGACCGGCAGGATTTGGGACGCCGGAGAATGGGCGTTGGATTAGGTAGTCATCATTGTTCGCGCTTTGGCCGAGCGCGGCGACCATTCCGTGCGAGTTGGGGAGGATCGTTGATTCTTCGGGTGGGAAGAGTGCGCTCATCTCACCCCGGACGGGAACGATCAGGTCGGCAAAATGGGGGAGGAGTGCGGAGGTGTAGGCGTTCGTCGCGAGGATGATAGTCGAAGAGGTAATCGTACCACGGGGCGTGTGCAGCGTGTGCTTGTTGCCTTCCGACGTGATTTCTGTGACCGGAGTCTTGGTCTGCAGATTCAACTTGCCGTCCCTGACAAGCTTCTCCAAGATAAAAGTAACCAGTTTATACGGCCATAAACTTGCCGCACCCTTGGTAAGAGCGATGCCCGCAGCCTCTTCGCTCACCCGGTGCTTCTTCAGGCCTTCCTTGTCCTTTATAACCGTGACGTGTTTGGCGATCTCGGGCGCAATCTCTTGCAAGTGTGCAATCTCCTTTTCAGCTTCTTGCATCACTTGTTCGGTCCAGAAGCTACGGCAACCGGTCACGGAGCGCCATTCGCAGGAGACGGAGTGGGTTTCAATGTATGATTTTACGGCGGCAACGTTTCTGAGTTCGAATTCGGCGACGTCGGAGCTGCGATCGAAGAGGAGAGGCTGGCAGTGGCCGCCATTCTGTGCGTGTTGGAGTAAGCTTTGGGTTGTATAAATGAGAGTCATCGAGACGCTAGTTGACATTGACGTGCTCGGGTAGAAGCGTGTTTCATGCTACATCTTGAAACAATGTACTCGAGCAGAGGTTGTTCATAAGCTGGGTCGAAGGATCAACGTACCCGTCCTGTGGCACCCCAGCAAGCCTCCCTAGCTTCCAGCAACACAATACTCTTTCCCTTCGCCCTCTCATCTTCAGCTAGAAACCTCGCCGTAGAAGTTCCGGTAATTCCGCTCCCAACGATCACGATATCCGCCTCCTTGGGCAGCTCCTCCGTTGTCCGGTGACCGATAAGGAAATTGTTAGGCTCGCTGTGCCAGAAGGAATCGGTCGACGTTGGTGTTGGTAGGGAGGAGCATGCGTGCTTCATCGCGAAGAAAGTGCGTAGGAAAGGCTGGAAAAAGACTTAAAGCGGGCGGTGATGTGCTGTTGTTGGAGGAGAGGGAGACGAATGGTGGTGGGGTCGAATGACTACAGAGCAACCAAGTGGACCCTACGATTTTATATCCCCACCTGAGGCCATGACATTTGACAAGGAGGCTGTGGCGTTGCGTGGGTGACTGAGTATGCGGAATACGTGGTCCAGTGTAACACGGGATGGAAGAGAGTGTCGGTATTGCAGACTGAAGCGTGGTGCTGTTCTAAGTACAGTCGGAGCAGTTTTTTGGGCAAACGGAGCAGCGAAGCGATCGCGGAGCTGTTAAAGCTAGGTCATCCCGATCACCATGGCCTGATATGGAAGTCTTTTAACGGAGGGTTGAAATCCCTGCTGGAGCCATTTCTGGGGCCCGGCATAGTTGGGATGGCGAGCTGGAGATGTGCTTGTTCCGATAATTTGACGGGCAGCCGCGAGATGCGACGATTAGTAAGGGGGCAGTGCATGGCCGCACTTCTTTCCAACGGCGCCATGTCAACCTCACTCATTCCTCCTCTCTTCCTGGAGGACTGCGTGCGACTGTACGCTTGGGTTAGGCGGTTGAGTTGCGCGGTGCAGCCGACTAGCACATAATCTCAGCACCACTTGATCCATTGGAACAGAAGGCAAACATCTCGACACAAACAGAATGCAATTTAGGTCCCACCTCTCGCACTACGCTAATATATACAGATAGGAAACGACAGCCCAAGCTATGTGGTATGCATATACGATAAGAGAAAGAGAAGACGCGTGAAAGCGAAAGAACCATAACTCTGCATATAGCGGGCATTGTTCGAACCCGCGATGGACACGAGATACTGAATTCGTTATCGTCATCAACCACCAATACATTATCGTGCGCAAGAGTCGCCGAGGGCCACCGGACACTGCAACCAGTGCGATATCTTCCAGCAGCTGTCTAGCCCCCAGCAGGAAAAGGGTCTCAGACCACCTGACCCCGCATAAGCGACGGCTGATTGACTACTTTCTTCGGCGAGTCAAGAGATCTTTTGCCTGCTCGGTGACCGAGAAATCATTGAACAGCCAGGAGTTGGAATGACGTCCACGCCACATGTCGCTACTATTTGTGCTCCGTCTCGATGTGCTCTGGAGACTGGGCCTCGTCACTTTCGACGAGGTCGAACCGATGGATCCTTGGCTGGGCGTTGAGACATGTCGTGATTGCTTTGGCCGCGACGACGGGACGTATGTTTGACTTGTCGGGCTTGCGTTGGTGGATGTGGGTGGAAAGTGTTCGGGTGGCATGACGAGCGGGGACTTCGACCGCTTGCGGGAGGCTGCTGCTGCTCGGGCTCGGCTGTGCGACCGGCCACGTATCCGTGAGGTGATGGCGCCGAAGAACGACTCCTCGGTCGGAGAAGTGGGTGAGCGGGAGCTGCGCGAAAAAGTCGACGTTGGCGAGAGCATATCTGGAGAGCCTGTGCCAGATGACTGAGACTTTTGCGAGCCGCCCGTCGCTGTGCGAATTGGCGGCGGCGGCTGAAAGTGCTCGTATCGCGAGCTTTGGTGGGACGGCATTGCTGGCTCGTTTGTGCTGTGTGGGCTGGATGGCTAGGTGTGTTTGCGGGGTATCAATATGTGGTGAGTAGCTGAAGGTGGCCTCAGATGTGAACACCAGCAACGAGACAGAAAAGAAGGCAATTGAAGACTTCAATAAACCAGCGCGGGCGAGACCTAATAAGCAAAATGCGGCTCACAACCACAAGCCGGGCATCATCTTTCATTCCTCCTCCTCAACCAGTCCAGCCATGATACCGTGTCCCCAAACCACAAATTCCCCAGCTTGGCGCATATCTCCTCCAGATTGGGTGTCGGTGAGCTCTCCTCCTACGAGCTCCCCGCACGACTCCGACAGGCTCTGCGAGCCAATCATCTGTAAAAGTCTAGAACCCGCCCCGCCTAAAAGTCCCTGCGGAACACTCCCACCACACCACTTCACCGACTCAGAACCCGCGCGGGGCTGTTGGCTGCAACGTCAACGCATCTACCCGACGAAATGACACTTCTGGGTCCAGAGTGCAGACAGGGCTGGCCGAGTGCCTTATCGGGAGACTGTTAGCGAGACTGCTATCTTGGAAGTGAGGTTTCGTGTAACGAGTGGTGCGCTTGTGCCACCGGTGTGCTGTTGGAGGTTGCGTGCCGTGCGTGCGCATTCGAAAGGGCTGTGGTGAGGCGAGAGGAGTCATTGCTGTACGTAGAGGAGTCAAGGGCATTGCATATGAACAGTGCAAAAAAAAGATTGTTCACGGTATAATGCATCCACCGGGAGTCGAACCCGAGCCATTTGCTCGCCGATAGACTTAACTATCTTGGAAGGCAAATATCCTACCGCTGGACCATAGATGCTGTGGCATTTTTTGTTGGAAATCTCTTTTACAATTATTTATATATACCAGAGAATTAAGAACTACACTTTGGAAACCGTTTTTGTTCATCTCGCAACAAAAAAAAAACTCAATGTGGGGCACATTCCAATTCTTGATCAACAGAGGGGTTTCGCTGTCACAGGTTCCTATCAGGGCTAGCCTATAAAGTTTACTCTTACCAAATAGTTTTATATCGTTCAAATACGAAATCCCTACGATCAAGCATGAAGATTCAGTTAACGTGGGTTGCAGGGGTATACGCGGAGCGACACCACCTTTGACCAGAAGCGGATTTTCATAAGCTAGCGCATATAGTTCCGGGCCACCTGTGGTTCCGGGCCACCCCACCAAAACGCGACACCTGCACAAAACACGCGATTTCTCAATAACGCCTATTACAATTGCCATGTAGTACACATAGACTGTAGAGTAGCTGCTGCTGTAGCTGCTGCTACTCTCTCTGCAGCCCCTTCTATAGTATATCTACCTAGCTGAGCTGCTGAGGCCTCAGCTGCGCGCATCGCCTCCCTAATAGTCTCTACCTCTGCAAAGCGTTGATTTAGGTCTACTCGAACGCGCTTTCGAGGACGCTAAGAGCTAGTAGTCTCTAGCTGCTGCTTAAGGCGTCTTTTCTCTAATTTAAGTCCTGCAGCGCGAGTGTTTATAGCTGCTAGCGCCTTACCTGCTTTTTATAGGAGAAGTCTTGTCTTGCGACCTAGGTTCTCGCAGCTCTACACCTCGCGCTAAGCTAGGTATAGTTCTCTAGGGCCTTAAGGAGTAGAGAAGAAGCTCTAAGGCTGCTGCTAAGGCTGCTGCTGATGCGTAGGCGTAGTAGGCCTCTAAGAGAGCTGCGATAAGCTAAGTACCTAATTGATATTAAGCGGGCAGATACTAGTAGCCTGCCAGCCAGCTTAAATCACACGCTCTGTAAAGCCTTCTTCCCTAGCTTAATGGTAGCAGGCAATAAAGCGCTCCTTCTTAACAGGCGTGGCGTTGTTGAGTGATGCGAGCTCCTAGATCTAGCGTCAGTAACTAGACTTAATAACAGAGAAAGGAGCAAGATCTAGCGGCTATAGGACGTGCGAGGTATGCATAGGTAGGTATAAGAGCTCTACTCAATGCTATTTACAAAGCTAAAGGAACTTAATATTAATGTAGCTGCCATAGCCGTTAAGGATAAGGAGTTAGTACTAGCTATCACCTACAGCCGTCTTAGGTAGAAATATGCGCTGCAGCTACTTAACACCTATTACATTTAACGTCTATCTGTTCTCTAAGGTTATATAGATCTAGTCAGGTACGTAGGATAAAGGGAACTAGGTTATTTATAGGCTCTAGCCCTTAAAGATGACTACGTAGTGTAGTTTCCGCCCTATTACTAATACACACTTAATTATAAAGACCTACTTATAATTCTCTAGAAACTAAATATAAGCCTTCTTTTTCTAACTACTAGAGAGTACTCTAGTATTTATACATACCCTTAGGGTAACGCTAGTTTTATCTATATTATAGGTATTCTTTACCTATATGTTAAGCTAACGTCTAGTCTATTTATAGAGCTCTAGGAAGGTACGTACCTACTCTAGAGTTACTACATTAGCTCTCTAAGCCTCTAGCTTTCTGCTGACTACTAAGGCGATGCGTGGCTATTAATAGATAAAGTGTAAGACCTAGAGCTTACCTATAGGCTAATCATTACTATTTATACGTAAGATTTAATTAGCCATTTCTTAAGCGCGAGCGTAGGAGGGAGGATAGGTGCGCGCGTCTTCTTTAAGGATCTATTCTACTAGGAAGTCCTCCTAGAGAGGAGTTAGCCGCTACTAATACTAATGGCTGAGCGCGCTTGTTATTACACCTTCTAGTTAACGTTAAAGCGTAGTTTAAGGAAGGCTATACGCCTTAGTAGCTGCGCGCTGACTAGTATAAATGCCTGCAGTGAGATCGCTGATAGCTGATTATATAGCTACCTTACGGGCGTCCATATTAATGAGCGTTGTGTTGAGAAATCGCGTGTTTTATTAAGGTGTCGCGTTTTAGTAGGGTGGCCTAGAACCATAGGTAGCCTAGAACTATATACGCTAGCTTACCTAGATTTAGAAAAGGGTGCGACATGACTAAGTAGAAGCAATAGGGGACTAAAGCTTATTGATGCATATATACTTGCAAAGACTGCTTCTTAAATTTGCATTTCAGCGTGCGTCTCTAGCACTTAGCAGCGTTTTCTATGGATAACTTTAATGATATAGCAGCAATCACTGCAGGCGAGCAGAAAGAGATCCTACTTGAATGTCTTGTAAAACCGTACGAGAAAGGCTCAGCTATAAGGGTATTAAAGCTTTAGCAACGGTCTGTAATGCTTTAAATATCTAGCGTAGATGCTAATTTTGCGGAGCGAGGAATGAGCGTAGCAAAATTACATTCTAAATCGCGCCTAAGAGCTTTAAAAAAATCGCATTCTACCTAACGTAAAGCACCACCAAAGGGGCCAAACCACTAAAAGGGCCAAAATTACTTAGCAAGGAAAATCAAAGAGTATTATCTTAATAACAAAGCTAAACCTTAATATTTTCTTTTGAAATTTTAAACCTAGATAGATATATATATAATCTAATAACTATTAAATTTTTGTAACCTTAGCTTATGTAATAAAATAGTTATAAATATATAAAGTATTAGTAGCTAAAATCTACCTTATACTATAGATTAATAGCTAAATATTAGTAATATACTATAACGTATTCTACTATTAAGCTAGCTATACTATTAAGCTAGCTACTTTTCCTTAGCAACACTAATACTACACTTATCATAAAATACCTTAACTAACAAACGTAATACTTATTTAATAGGAAGGTAGAATTAAGCTTACCTTTTAAGCTTACTATTTAGGCTAATTTATAAGCCTCTAATATACTACTAAGGCTTTTAACGTTTATTACTAGAGGCTATCTAATTACCTTAACTAAATTACCTATTAACTAAATATAGTTCTAAACTATTTAAAACTATCTTTAACTAAAGAGGACACGCTTATCTAATATATCCTTAACCTTAATTTATAAGGATTTGCACCTATGCTAGGTAAAGTATTAGATATAGTAAATAAACTACTATATAAGTAGGGTAGTAAGAAAGTAGATATTAACTAAGTAGTATAGTTTATAGACTATTTAGAATAGTTATAAATAGTTTAGAACTATTTAAAGGACTATTAGAGAGTACTATAAGAAGATCTTAAAGTAGTTAGTATATAGTTTAAGCTTATATAAGATACTAAAGCAAAGTATAATATAAAGCACTATTAAAGTAGCTATACTATCAAAGCGGCCACACTATCGAAGCGGCTACTTTTTGCTTAGCAGAAAATCAAACATTCAACCTTTAATAACAATTTAAATACTAGAGCTATAAAGCTAAAATTTTAAATATAGATATATATAATATAACGTTAGATAAAAAGGATTATAAAAAAATATTCTAGGATTTCTAATAGCTTAGTAAGCTATATAGGTATAGAGAATACTAGGCAACTTTTAATATAACGTAAAGCACTACTAAACTGCGTATACTACTAAACTACGCAGAATTCCTTAGCAACACTAACTTACTTAACTTTATCGCTATTATCGTCCGTATTACTACTTAATATAATAAACTAAGTACTAGCCTCTAACTTAGAAGAACTCTCTTTATCTACTTAACACGTTCTCGCGTTATACCTAGCTTTACTATAGTTGCTATAGTAGCAAATACTTAGTTATTATACTTTATATTTACCTTCTACCTTTGCTCTCTTATAGTTCTAAATAGTTCTTAATAGTTTAGAACTATTCTAGTCTACTATAAGACTATACTCTATAATACTACCCTTCTAAATATACTTGCACTTGCGTGTTTTTTACTTAGTTACTACTGTAAGTTGCTTTTTAAGCTCTTTAATGCGCGCCTTTATAAGTACGCTACCTTGTAGCACTAACTTAGTGCCTTTAATAAGCTACAAAAGCCTACTGCGCGCTATTTATAGTAACTAAGTAATAGAATCTTATATAAGCCTTAACTACAAGCTAAATTCGCGTATATTACTTAGAGTTCTTAATTGCTACGGCGTCTCTAGTAGTAGGGGTCCTAGTAAGGTGCATATACGCATATTAAAGTAATTAAGTACTACCTACGCATTTAGAAGGACTAGCCCTATTACCTTAAAGGCCTTTTAATAGTTTTAAACTATAAACACGCTTAAAAACGCGTCTTTAAAGGCTAGTAGAAACGCTTTTTTATTAATATAAAAAATGTATTAGCGCGCTAAGTTCTAAATAGTCTTAGAGTATTTACGCTTAAGCAGTAAGAAGCACACTATATTAAGCGGCTAGAAGATGTATAACAAGTATAGTGTAAGAAAGCAAGGGAGGTTTAAAAGATATTTAAATAACAATAGAAGTTATTTAAATATAAAAATATAAAAGCTGTATAAGGATAGCTCTTACATAAAGCTGCTAGCAGTAGAAGAGGCTAGTAGTATAGTAGGTAGTAGGTAGAAAGTAATAGCTAAAGTGATTGATTTTAAGTAGGCCTATAGCACTTATTTATATACATTCAGTCCTAAGTATATCCTATACTAGCCCTGGGTATTTCCTATACTATAGATCGAGATCTATTACCTAATGATCT